TTTATAAATTAAATATATATCAGATAAGATGTTATATAATATTTAACGTAATAATTAAAAAAAAATTTATATATATAGATTAGACTGAACCAATCTATGAATTTAAAAAAAAAATTATTAAAATCTTTAAACTCTAATTTTCCCAAATTGCCAATACTTACATATTCTTCTTCCTCCTCCTACACTCCCTTTTTAAGTCTATGCAAAGCACACAGAGAGCATCAAGTTGAGACTTATGACCAAACAAGCTTTCTTACTCCTCCCACATGTCTTCTTCTTCTTCTTCTTTTTCCCCTGTCACTTTGTGCACCAGCTAGACCTAAGATCAAGCCAGCATCGAGTAATGGGCCGCCACCGGCAACACCACTTGTCTCGTCATTAGGGGCTCCGTCACATATTTTACTAACATACCCAATTATATTTTACAAAATATTTTGAGATGATTTTGGCATCGGAAGTAACCATTAAGAAGAGGAATGAGTTACGAATCGAATGAAGTTGGAGATCAACAATTTGCCGACCACTAGACCCAAGAGAAGTATGACTAGGAACTATCACTTCTCCATCAGTAAGAATATGCTCTTCGTATTCTTTAGTTGCAATACTATTAATATTTTTATACAAAATTTTAACAAATATAAGTTAATCTAATATGTTATCAAAGTATACTTAATAGAAAGAAAAATTTAGTTTTGTGTGAGAGTCGAAGGGAGGAGGGATGATGTGAAAATCAATTTACTTTCTTATTTCTTTATATATAGATTGATCTAAACCAGTTTACATTCAAATTTTTTTAATGTCGCGTTAGGATACTACATTAGTATTCAACTTATCAATAACTTTGGCATGTGACACCTAAATTATTGTTGTTAATAGTTAATAACGAAGAAAATATTTAAATAAAATTTTTTTCAAAAATATAATGGCCAAATTATTATTTTAGTCAAAATATTTATTATTGATGCTATTCATAAAAAAAAATAAGACTCAAATAACTGTTAATCAACTATAGTTTTCATTTTCATTCACTCATCATAGATCTAAATTCATAACTAATTACATTAGAGATATAAAATGTTAGGTGAAGAAAATATAAAATAGAAAATAGTGGAAAAGAAAATAAAAAATGGAAAATAGCAGAAAACAGATGAATAAGAAGATGAAGATGGAAGATTGAAAAAGATGGAATAGGAGCAAGAAGATGAAGAAGTGGCATTTATAGAGGAGTGAAGTACCTGACATGAAGGCTAGGAGAAGGACGCGAAAGGAAAAAAAGGGGGGAAGGGGGGAACGCGTACAAGGCCATCATCGATCATGTTTTTTAAAAGTCGCTAGCATATCTGCCATGTACTTAAAATACGATATGCGTAAGGCAATGTCAATCACATAGACATCCATCGAGCATTATTAAGATATCATTCACAGTGGAAGGTAATCTAGACAAAATTTAAAAGCATGAGTTGTATTTGAACCGAAAATTATAAAAAACCCAATATCAACAAGTTATTAACTGTCATTTGTTCAATCCATGCATGATAAGCAGCACATGCCAGGAATAATAGGACAAAGAAAAGGTTTTACTAATAGGACAAAGATAATAGCACATGTCATGAAAATTTCCCAACACTCAAGAGTTAATTTCTCAAAGATAGTAAACGATTTATCTTTCTTAAGGCTCCTGAAATGTTATGAGAAACTCTTATTAGCTAGTTTAAAGCAACGGTATAAAGGCCTTGTGTAGAGGGTCTCAAACTTGCATAGAACATTGCAAGCCAATGAGGTAGAAAGAGATTTCTTCAGTTAAAGAGAAAATGAGTTAAGCAATGAAAATCTTTTCTTTACAAACTGGATAGCATATTCGGGGTTAGGAACAAAATGGCCTAGTCAATAGAAGAGAGAATGGTCCTTGGTGCCATTACCAGGGTACCATCAAAATAATAAGGGAGCTTTAGTAAGTTCAACATTGAAACAAAAAATTGAATCTCCCATAATAGGTAATTTGTGGGAGTCAAGTTTATAGAAAATAAATATGATGCGAAACGAATCCCAGGGAGCATGAGATTTGAATTATTTGAAGATGAAGAGAGATTTATAAATGTCACGTTTGATGGAGAAGAAATGCTCATGGATGGCTCTGATATCATGTTTCAGTGACTGAATAGACTAATCACCAACGGAACATATAGGTTACAAGATACATTCAAGTACTTGAAAGTCAAATAAGAGATATATTTCATATTTATTAACAAATCAAGAATTTTGATATTAAAAGTTGGGCTCATTAAAAAGTGACTAGAATTTGAAATAATGCATTTTAGATTCTTTTAGTTTAGTATTTTCTCTGTAAGCTAAGCATAAATTTTAAAATAAATTCTACAGAAAATCTTGACTTATCCATTTCATTATGTTAAACAAAAGCCATATTATCTGGTGGTTTGGGGACCAAAACGAAGTTGGATTTTAATTCCCCACCAATCACACATGTACTTATCAAGTAAAAGAATAAAATCAAGCAAACAACTTAACTGAACAATGATGATTCTCAGTACAAAAAATCTTCTCCTTGAAGAGAAAAAGGAAATATCGACATATGAGGTCAAGAATGCATTACTTGTTCTTGTTGCCCTTCAGATGCCGTTGTTGGCGGATCTCCCTCATTAGTCTCCTTCACAGATGACTGAGTATGTGAGTTCTTAAGCTCCTCTAACTGCAACCAGAAATTTGCAGTATTTAACTCGCATGTTTGATGAGACTGAAAATGGGGATCTGTAATTCTGAAAAGAGAAACATGGAGGAAACCGGAGCACATGCTAAAATGCTAGAATTGACAATGCCATTATTGTACATGGTTCATCATCAGCTTATAATTAGTATGCACTTGTTCAAAATAATGATAATAATAATAGTTCATTGATTAACACATGATGACCCTGCCTCTCTAACAAATATGTAATATGGCATGTCTTATCTCTCCAAGAGTACATAATATAGCATGTGCTGGATATTGAAGTTATTTCCATCATATATATAGTGACAGCATGATAACAAATTCAAGGTTCTGCAATACCTATATTGACCTGAATTTATTTGGTTTAAAATATTGCTTCAGTGGTGGAATGCTGCAATACTGGCATCTAAGAGGCGGAAAAGAAGTTAAATGGAGCCTCAAGGGACCCCAAAGAATTTGAAGTTTGTAAAGGTCTATATACTAAAACGGCGCAATTGCAGCCTACAAAGAGTAGGAAGGAAGTAACCAGAGAAGACTGTCTTAAGAAAAGCAATACAGAATAGAAAGCTGCAGTAGCTGAAATGCCAAAGGATGGTGCCGAAAGATATTTTATTTTTTATATATATATAAATAAGCCAGTTTGAAAGGGAAAGCAACAACCAAAAAAAAAAATGCAAAATCAGAGACAAAAAGAAAAAAGCAATTCAGTGCCAAATAGAATAAGGTCAAGCTAGAATGTTATGCTGGGTATTGCAAAAACTCTTATATTCCTTATTTCTACATGAAGACAAATTATAGATTTGGTCAAGTAGATGGAGCTAAAATTTGGGGCTAGATCAGAAAAAAGAATTCTGAAAAAAGTTCCTAATATGCATGGGAGCTGACAATCATTAATGAAAAATTTTGTCGTTTCCTCAAACTTTGAATAATTCAATGACTTTTAACAACCAACTTTTACCCAGTATATGTTTACGTCAGCAGCAGAAGAGGCAAGGAATTTAATACGATTGGAGAAATAAAATCATAAATAACTACCATAACGGTTAGCCTTTCACATTTTCAAGCCTACAACTATGGGACTGAATATCTTTTTCAAGTCTTCACTAAATATGATAACTAAAAATACAATGAATTATTCCCAAACTAATATCCAACTCACAAAAGTACAAAACCTCAAGCTACATCGTTCACCAGGCAAGAGTTTAAACGCTTTCCAAATAAAAATAACTCAAAAAACCTACGAAAGAAAGCCAATAAAGCGCGGCAATTTAATCCTATTTCTAGAGAAACACATATTTTTCACCAAGATAAAACTAAACAAGAAAACTATACAAATTAAGAATTTTAAGGCAAACAAGAATTTGGAAAACCCTAACATGCTCCATGATGATCCAGTATAAATTTTAGAGAGCAACTTGAACCTAACATTGATGTCTCATTGATTAATATTTTTCCTGTGCTGACAAGCAAGATCAGAGCCCAAGTACCACAAAACTTTATTTTCTAAAATCTATTTATGCATATAAGCCCGTTATACCTTCAGCTGACATGTTAAACACACAATTCCAGTTTCTATACCTCTTTGCAGATTTGCTGATGTGTTGCCAAAAGTTCATTATATTTTACTTGTAAATCAGACACTTCAGCTTGCAGCTTTTCATATTCAGATGCAGTTGGACCCCCTAACTTTTGTTGAATGAATCTGTTAGGAAAGATAAAGGAGAGAGGAAGTTACATACGCTAGTGCATTTGAATATACTCAAGTTATCATCTAATTACAAGGAAACAGTTAAACATAGACATCTACTCTTTTGGGAACTTCACAAAGGTAACTAAGCATCAATATACAACGTATTAGTGGACTCCATGCTCTTTATCAGGTTAAGGTAATTCCTCTTTTTCCACAACTTGGAAACTCCGTAGACATACAGAATGTGTAAAATTTCCCCAAAGCAACACTTATCTCTTTGGCTAACTATAAACTACATTGTCATAAACAAGTTCCACACTTACTTTAATTTTCTTTACATGTAGTAAAATCTAGATGCCATAAAGCATGCACAGAAGCAAAGAATTGCAGAGAGAACATACTCAAGGGCAGAGGACGGCTTCTCATTTTGTTCATACAGTGCAACAAGAACTACAACAGGAAGGAAAAAGAAAGCAGAATCAATGGAAACCCGATTCATTTAAGCTTCATTTCAAGAAAACGAAACGCATTAATTCTTGTATAAAAAAAAAAAGCCAGAAAAATAAACAAATATATATTAAATCGGAGTAAGGCAAAAACCTTTGGTGAGAGCATCAACAGCTCCACTTGACTCCAGATATTTCCTAAACGCTTCCTTCTTTGCCTCTTTTTCCTGAATTATAGGTATGGTGAAGAAGATCCACTAACCAAATTACTGTATATATTCTACTGAAAGTATCAAATGAGTTAAATCATATGCGCCAAAATCCAAAAAGTAGAAAAATTCGAAGAGCATGTGAAGAAAATGGTACCTCTTTGTATCGCATCATGATCTTGCTTACACTACTCTCTGGTCTGGTTCTCCCGGTTGCTTGGAAATGGAGAAAGCAGACACAAGTAGAAGAAAGCGGGGAAAATAATATTAATATTAATATTAATATTAAATTTATAGGGATTTAATTTTTTAAAAAATATTTGGAAATTAAATTATGATAATTTAAACTTAAATTAAAGTAAATTTTAATTCGAATTAAAATAATAAAATTAATTATTTACAGTCGATCAGATAATTTATTTCAAAATTAAAAAAAAAAAAAAAAAAAAAAACTTACTTGGGCTTTCCTTTCTTCTTCTTCCATTGGGGCCTGGTCTTCATGGTTTCTTCCATTAATGTTCAAGACCAGTCCTCTTTCAACCGGCTTAAGTCCGGATCTACCAAATTCCATGTTCGTAACCGGGAGTAAAGAAAACCGAAAAAACAAGACGCGAGTAGCTGATCCCTGTGTTAACATTCATTCTCTCACTTTATCTCGCATTAGTGGCAGGTTCGTCCCCTCGTTTTTTCATATCTAATTTCGCATCTTTGTCTTCTCTGTCACTGGTGATTGGAGTGAAATCAGTTCTGATTCTGGTTTTATTTTTCTCAATTTCCAAAAATCGTCGCAAGCAAATCTATTTATCGGAATAGTCTCGTGTTGAGTTTCAAGGTTTTCTCTTCTGTGTTTAACATTACCTATATAGAACCCTGTAATCTTCTATATGTTGACTTAAGTTCATGCCAGTGATGCATGTTAGCGAGCTGTCCTATTATTGAATTTCTTTTGGTGCTTTTATAGGAGGGAAAATGTTTAGGAATGCGAGTAAGGTAATGAATTTTAACATCAATGAGCAGCTCATGGTTGATTTTTTAAATTAACAGGTCAAGGATTACGCTTCTTCCTTTTATTTTTAATGTACGAAAGGTTTTAGAGTATTGTTGTACCTTGAAGTCTCCCATTTCGCAGTGAGTTCCAGGACGATATATTATTTTATTCATTGATGTCCAGTGATTAGGAACTCGTTTTGCTTTTAAGAATTATGTATGTATATTTACATAATGTGTGCTTTGTGACCAATGTTTTGAACTGAACGCTGATTCGTAATGTAAATTGTTTTACATTTGCTCATCCATCAACGTGGTGACTGGATCGTAACTTATTGCTTTTAGATTCCCAAGCAAATTTGTTGGATATTGAATTTTCCTCCTGGCGGCATTGAACTATTTTCAATTTTCCTATAGCATTTAGTGGAGCAGATTGTTACCCTCTGTATTTCATTTTTTCTTGTAATTCTATTGGGTCTTAAATCCCTTGGCTATGGTTTATCAATATACACTAGGCCGTCATTTTTCTTAACAAATTTTCAACTGCTAGATATGAAATGCATCATCGAAAGGGGCCTTTAATTCTACAAAAGCATAATGTTGAATTGTGGCTTAAATTCATAGAGATTGTTATAAAGTTCATAGGGGTACTAAATGGTAGGTTTGGGGCTCAGCATTTTTTTTCAAGAGTATTCTTGTAATTGAGTTTTCTCCTTAACCTATTATACAGAGAGAAAAACTTCTGGCTGAAAGATTCAACTTTTTAGTAGTGAAAATTTTGCAGGCAGTTCCATAGTATGGGCACATTGCTGAACCACATTAAATTCGGTGTTCTTCCTCTCAGATTTATGTTCTTCAATTTTTGTGTTGTGTGGGTTTTCTCACTATGTAAGTCCTTAAGGTCTAAAGCCACTCTTTAGCATGAGAATCAGAGAACAGGCTGCAGAATCATTCATGTTACTGCACTACTGGATTTATCATATTTATTTGTCTGGGTTTTTAGATGATCCCTGCTCCAGTCACTCAATTTTAATGATTGAACAAGCTTTCATGTTCTTATGCAATTTTATCTTTAGTCAACCATTGGTAAAGTAGCAAATGCACTTTTTACAGGACATTTTGTCTCAATGATGAGTGCAAGAGTAACTCAAAGTAGTGTCCACGCTGCACTGAGTAGTGATGATATCATGTGCGATATTCTCATTCGTCTGCCACCAGAATCTGTTTTCAAATTGATTCTTGTATCAAAGAGATGGCTTCGCTTGATATGCGGCCCTTATTTTCGTTATATTTACCTGAGCCGATGGAAAACAAGCTTTCACTTGCTGGGCTTTTTTGTTTGCAATTCCCTGTACCTTGGAAGACGTGAAGATGGCCTTAGGCGCCCCCGTTCAGAGCCTGCTCTTCCATTATTGTCAACTTGTAAAGAGGGTGATGATCTAAAATATTCAGGGATCCTCAAGCAGCTTGGTTACTTCATTGACTCCTCCAAAGGCATTCTTCTTTGTGGCCGGCACCCAAAGACATATTACGTGTGGAATCCCACCAAAGAGAAACAGTACCAGCTCCCTCGTCCTCGAGTCTACTTTGAGGAGTTGTGCATGGCCTTCATCGTTGAAGATTGTCCTGATGATGATATGTGCTACAAGGTTATCCGTGCAAAATGTGAATGCAGGCTGGAAGAAGTTAACACTGTCACTATTGAAACTTTCTTTTCAAAGACCACTACATGGAGTTATTCAACTCTTACCTGCTCATCAAATTTATGTTTGAGTCCTTGGACTGTTGGCACTGTGATTGGAGGTGTAGTCCACTGGCATGCAGCACAGGGGCATGTAGCAATTTATGATCCCGATAATGAAGAGAAGCGCATTGCTTTGATTAAACTGCCCGGGTCTTATGATTATGATGAACATGTTCTTGGAGAGTCTTCTGATGGGCTTCTGCAATATGGTTGGAGTAATACATCAGGCATGGAGATATGGGTTCTTGAAAAGGAACAAGATTCTTACTCATCCATTTTCTCTGGTGACAACAATCCAACAGTCAGGTGGAACAGAAGGTATAAGCTGAATTTCAAAACCATGTGGAAGAACAATCTCTCAATAGCAACAAAATTCAGCACACGGTCTAAAGAAACTCAAATCCTCTCATTCGTGATTCAGAATTCGGATGCTGTTTTCATTCGGTCCGGTTCCAATATTTTCCTCTATTACTTCGAGAGCAAAAGGGTGGAATATGTACCCTACCAAGGTCGTGGTTCTTCCATTTTATGGGATTTCTGTAAGGTTGTACCTTATTTTAAACGAGCTTGGCCTCATTTTTCTACATGTAGGGAAGGACAGAAAATACCAGAGCAACTGCATAAAAAGTCTGTAGCTTCAACTAGTGGCTCTTGGGGGCAGTGGTAGTGGCCCAAACCCTTTTTGCTGGGATTCTAGGTTTGAGTTGTCCATGACTCAATATAAGGGTTCTCCCTCTGTAATTTGACTCAAATCATGGCCCTAGACTAGGTACCTTTGTTTAGCGGTTTTAGTCAGTTGATCTGGTAGCTTTTTCTGGCTGTAGCTTGACTTGTGCTTGGCGGTTAGAGTCAGTGTACATATAGTACTATTGTTTTGTTTGTTAGACCTCAAATTTCTTTGGGATGACATTAGTACCTGAACCTGTTGTTCTTGAACCCTAACATTGACCTCCTCAAAGAACTTTTGGCATGTCAATTATTAGGGTTTTTTTCCAAAAAACCTATAATCAATTTTGGCATGTGCATTTTTGGGGGTTCTTTATTTTGATTCGACTATAGTTTGTAAGTTTAAAAAATTTAATTAACTAAACCATTCGTATAAAAACCTAAGTAACTCGGACATACAATATCCAAAAAGCTTCTTAAATAGATGCCAAAGAAAAAGAGACAGCTTGAAGGTTGCTGATTTTAAGTGCAATTTCTTCACTATATATAACCCAGTCATTTACCTTCTCAGAAGAGGTAATCACAATATTTTTAGACAGTAAGCCTGTGGCGTATCATCCAGAAATCAGACTGCAAGCAAATTCTGGAAATGGTGTACGGAATAAGTTGCTGGCCCTAAAATTTTCAGTGTTGAAACTTCTATCACACCACTACTATATCTAAGGTGAAGGCAAACTTTGTGAAGAATTAAGGCTAGAAATCTAAAAGATAGCGTTTAGGGCACACATTGATGTTGAAAACAGGGAAAAGAAGGAAACATCATAGATTACTTGCAGAAGCTGGGAAGAAAAATGGGAAGGAATTATTGTACATTTCATAAGAACAATACTATAAGTTTGTATCTCTTACCCCTTGACAATAAATGACCTAGTTGTACAACACAAGAGAGAAAAGTCAATATTATACTAGTCAGGAAGCAAATGTGCTCCCTGTTCTAAAGAAATGAACTACATGTAAAAATTTTAAAGAAATATTTCTAATATAATGAAAAATTGAAATGAGGAACCCTGAAAGTGCATCCACAACCAGAGAGAATTTACATCTTCAAGCTGATAAAGAATCTGTCTATTTCTGGAGAGAAATTGACTACTCAGAACGTGGCAACAAGAAGCTAAAGCCTGAGTTCTCACGAATCAGAGGTGGTGGTTCAATGTCAGAGATATCTATTTGTTCCATTGACTTCGATAAGTCATCAACTGAAAATGGAATACTGCAAGATCAAGAAGTTCCAAAAAGTCAGTTAAAACCTCCAAATCAGAATATAGGTAAGGTAAACTGGAAGAAGTTTTGCAGCAACGAAGTGAGGGAATATGAACTAATTTGGCTGCATTTAACTCAGAGAAATCCACTCAAACCTCTATAATGACAAAGTTTTTCTAAACTTGAACCCAATGTCAAATAAAATATGCACTTACCTTGCAACTGATTTAAATATATTCTATTTTCATTCAACTCTTAGGTATTAGTTGTTCGATATATAGAAGTTAGTTATAATTTATATTTGGTGCATTCTTGAATCACCTTTTCTCCTTTCTTCAATTCTACAACCATGAATATTGTATTCTTGCCTGTTGAGGAAGGAATAAACAGGAAATAGCTTAAGTTGAATTAAATATGAACTTTAACTTGGACTAACACTGCTGTTTCCATTTAAATTTATTTCATATTTATTTTGTATTCTCATTCCAATTCCATGAAATTGGAATTTGACCCCAAACAAAGATGTCAAACATTTGGTTTATTAGGCATTATGTTTGATTGCATGCATTATGGACTCCAACTGCAAGGAAACATGAACATATAACATTGGAAATTCATTCATCTCCTAAATAGTTATTACTGCAGTAAGTTTAGATCCCATCCTTCTTAGGTAATTTCAGGAAAATCAACCTAAAAACTAATAGAATCCTGAAAAACTTTAACAAGTCAAGAAATGAAGTGAAACAAAAATGAAACATAAGGCTGTTGTTTTATTGATGAAAAAGAGAAATGAAATATATTAGTAATATCCTATGGCTGGATGTTCAAGCTAACCTCAAATCGTCGTCCAACAGGAAGGAATTACTGACAGCATTGTTTGAATCTTCTGTCATCAGCACCCTCATATTCGCTATAACCTACACAGAAACATTTGGATAGAAATAGTGGTCAGCTTCTTCAAAAAATATATATATATACACGTATATATATAATACTGTCAAATGCCACCAAATATAACCAAACCTAGATGAGCTATAGACATCAATAAAAAACTTACATCCGAGGAAACACTATGTGTCCCATACTTGTCGTCCCAGTACATTGTGCTGATTCGATATAATTGCTGTATGCTAAGGACCTGTAGAAATTACAGTAATGATTATGAATTTGAAACCACAGAAGGGTGTAAATGTAGATTTTCGAATTACTTCACTTATCTTAAGATATACATCACTCACCGGGCATAGGTCATGACTTATCTCATCCAGTGTTTTTTTGGGTTTTTGATGTATGACCTAGTTTAGAAATAAGAATATATTAGGATTGGTTATCAAAAGAGAATATAATTAGAATTCTCCACCATCATAACAAGTACAGGTAATGAGTGGAAATTTTCATGAAGAATGGGAAGATACCAGAAACCCAATGGCCTGTCTGATGTGCTTCAGCTCATCCCAAGCAGAACCTGCATACTGTGATTGTTTCCTCAGTTTATATGGGAAATATTACGTATAAGCAGACAATTTATAACATTAAGTGGGAGATAAACCAAGGTACCTCATCTGTTGCTTTGTAACACCAATGTTCCAGTTCAGCCAATCCAGCTTTGACATATTCACCATTGCTAAATGAGCAGCACTCTCGTCTTAATAAAAGACTGCAAAAAAAATAGTTAATGCAAGACCATAAGGAGAAAAGAACATAAAAAGAAAACCAAAACTCATGAGAAAATTATCACAAGTCGCTAAAGAATGCAAACCCGGGGTACCTGTTAAAGAGTTGAACGTTGATGAAGGAAAATATTTGGGTGAACACCTTCCGAACTACATATGCAGGTACCTAAAATGGATTAAATGGTAGTTGTTATGCAGAAGAATTTCCCTAGAATTATGCTTCCAAATGAAATAAAAATAGGTTCATAGTGAAAAAAATATATATCCATAAATGAATAATTCCTTGAAAGATCAGTCAATATGCAAACCACTTGGAGATGCTAAACACTCTACTATCCAATTGGGTAAATTTTATGGAAATGGGATCTCTATGGAGTCACATTTTCTTTGAAGAAGGCATAAAAGGAAATTGAATAAAACAGAAAAGGAATGACAATAAGGTTCTATATTTCATTTTCTAGTTTCCTTTGTCTTTCTTTTCATCAAATATAATTGACTCAGAAAGCCAATAAAATTCGGGTCAAGCATGAAATTGAACCGGAAGCTAGGGCATGAGAAAGGATAATAACAACCATAAGACCATAAAAAAATAAACTGTCCCACTAACATGATTGGCTTTCAGCGTGTTCAGGAAGTTCCCAAGGCTTTTCACAATCCCTTGCCAGTGAGCAATCAAGGCTTGCTGGGCTGCAGTGTTAGCAACGGAGCGTGATGCTCCCTTGACTAAACTTGCTCTGGATGTTCTTGGTGCCTACACAGTTACCAATCAAGAAATTATACATAACTGGAAAATAAGCAATTAAGATGGAATTGCAGGGAACTTGGGGACTCTTCGTCAAAATTATCAGTTAACTGCTCCTACTAATTCCTTACTAATAAGCCTACCTGGATGCATAAACCAAGCAACGGGGAAATCTCTTTCTTCAAATTATCTCGAATCATTCCATAAATCTTTTCTACATAGGCCGTAAGCTGCTGTTTGAAAAGCAAAGCAGGGTACTTGGCTTCAACTTGCCGTAGTGAATCTGCTCCACCACTGATGCCACCATTGATCAGGGAAAGATTGACTCCTTGCGGTGTTCCACGAAAACTCTAAAAGAACAAAAATAGAAAGGACCTCAATAAAGAACTGACATTTCATTACAAACTATCAGATCCTGAAAGATTTATACTTGTGTCATTCTTCCGAATAGAGTAGCAGATGATGATCGACGGCGTTGTGGAGCCATTCCAGCAGCACCACTCGCTTTAAGTGTGCGCTGAAGTAGCAAAAGAAGTGTTGAGGCATTGGATAACCAATAGGCCAAGATATCATTGTTGTCCTGGGTCTGAGATTCAAATTGCAAGATCGAAGTTCAGGTAATCTTCTGATTAACAGGAAATTTTACTAACGTATCACGCTCAGCGTTTCAAACCTCAATAGCATGGCCGATAGTCTGAATGATCCGATCAAAAACACTTGTCCGCTCAACTTCAAATGATCTCCATTGCAAAAGACATTTGTATATTATACAAGCAGCAATAGGTCTATTTCCAGCAAAGCCCAAGTGTTGCGCAATGCAACGAATAAGCAGCTCCTGGTTCTCCTGTTGCTTCTCATTTAGAGACTTCTGCGGTTTTTCTTCCACTTCAGAAGGATCCCTATGGTTTATTGATGGGCTATTCAGATCCTGTTCCAATTTACAATGATAGAAAACATAATAAGAATGAAAAGATTCTAGAGTAATCACATCAAGAATTCTACGTTGCTGCTTCTATGGTCATATGCAAGTAGATAAGCCTTACTTACCAAACCTGGCCTTCCATCCACTGGAATAGAACCACTCTCAGCCCTCTGCCAATTATCAGACACAAGAATAATCTCATAAATCTTCATACTAAGAATTCCTTTCCAATATAAAAATGCATATCTAAAATACCTGTAAGATAGATCTGGAGCGTCCAGAGAGGAACTTATTGGGTGCCATGGATACAGCTTGTTGCCTTAGCACTTGATTTTCTGATTCTAAATTGGTAATCTTCTCTTCTAACCTAATCACCAAAGAAAAATAGTTTAATTAACCACAACTGAAAAGCTGAAAGTGACTATGGAATTTTCAGGAATGCTGAATAACAATTAAATTCATTATCTGCAATCAGTGTACTATCTTTTCTGACACCAGGTTAGTAAACCTAATTCAGTGTGGTACCTGGTCAAAGATTCTTGTAGTTGATGAACTTTCTTCTCTGTGTCTTCTAATTTCTTCTTTTTTTCTTCAATAGATTCCTGGGCTTCGTTATTTTTCCTTTCAGCATCTTCAGCACGTTGTTTCTCCGACTCTAATGAGGCCTGTGGGAATGGAATCGTTATCAAGAGAAGATGGTTTTTCATGTGAACAATAAATAGATGTTAGGAACCAAATTGGATCTTTATACACTTGCATGTTTCAGATAGATTAGTAAAAGGAAATTCTGACAAGGCAATAATGTTCCCAATGAGTTCAACATGCCATGGAATTTGGAATTCGAGTTCTTATTAATAAAAGATAAAGAAAAGGAATGCTTTTAACCAAGCCTCAAACTGTTTTCAGCATGTCATAATCCTAATTACAGTAGTCTACCCCAGCTTATTATCTTCTTTTTCTGCTTTTTAAATGCTGAAGAAGTCAATGTTTGTTCTTGGAGAACTTAGATAAGTGTATTGTTACTCATTGATACCCTAAAATTCCAGAAATTTCCTGGCCATGTTAGAATTCTCAGTTTCTAGTTTGCATGTTCTGTCATGACATAAAAGCAATACAGTACCATGCTAAATCTAACTCTAGAACGAGCCACTAATTGCTCAATTAAAAAAAATTCAAAATTATCTTCTGTAGGTAGACCTATTTGTGATGCTAAGATGATGTTTGATCCGTATATGCATATTCTGAAAGCACCATCAGAGATGCCATTTTTTCTAAATGTGCATAGGAATTCAGCGGAAATCCACATAAGAAATCTTACTTCAAAAATATTTTCTAGCTATCATTTGACGTCACAAGTAGAAACCTAATCAAATTTTCTTCATATGGTTTCGCAAGTAATTAGTTAACATAAGTAGAAACTCAGATGAAATTTTATTCATACAAAGTGTTATGCAGAAGTGCAAGAGCTAAAATATTTGTTCTAGGATGATTTGATTTTGCATATTTATTTGCTGTATCACAGATCGAATTTAGCAGAAGAAAGAAGTCACTGATTATTGAATAAACAACATACCTTTAAATTCTCCACTTCTTCAGTTAGGGATTCAACTTTTTTTGTATCTTCAACTAAAACTTGGGTTTCTTTAATAACAGGAGGTGCTTCTTCTATGGCCTTTTTTGCAGCCTCTTGTTCCTTAATGAGCAACGCATTTGTTTCATCAATCTTCTTTTGCATTTCCTCCAACGAATTCTGTAATTTCGCTACTTCTTGAGCTTTTGCCTCTTCTAAGTCAGTCTGCAACATGAATCAGACTTCTCATATGTTGTTCAGAAAAAATAAACCGGAAATTTTCTATTTTTTAAATGGAAAAAGATTAAAAAGCAAAATTTCTTGAGGAAGATAGTAGATGTTCCTTGTTCAGTAGCTTTGTTTTTTCAGTGACTTAACTTTAAATGTCACCTTCACAAAAAGATTCTTATAGACTTTGGAAGTATATTTTCTACCAGACAGTATCTATCTGCTGAACATAAATATTACCCGTAAACGTTTTTCTAACTGTACACGATATGTGAGTTCCTCCACTTTTTTTTCAAGCTTATCCTTTGCCTCTTTTAGTGCACCTGTTTCCCTGGCAGCCTGTGGAAAGTTGGAGATGGTATCAACACTTAAAAAGTGAATTGAGAGCCACAAACTGAAGCAGGCTTCAAACAATCAGTTGGGGAAACATATGAATGATGCCCTACTATGCTGACAACAAAGACAAACTGGTATTATTGATGTTTGATGAGAGTTTATATAAATTATGTTAAAACATATAAGGTTAAAATACATCTTATATAATTAATTGTTTATTTCCTTTTCTATTGTAGAAAACCTGTATATATATAGGGTTATGATATTTAATGAAATACACATTCAACCATTCTTAACATATTACTAGAGCTCTAGATTAAAAAAACCTACATATTATGCTTTTACAAACCACTCTTTTACAAACCCTATTATGCTTTCATTGCCAAATTTTTTAAAAAAAAATCCTAAAGGAGGCCAGCCTTCATCGCTTGTCACCATACTCCAACCAAGTCAGCCTCCACAAGACTGGTCATCTCTACCACAAGCCCACTTTTGTAAATGGCCCTAATCCCTAACCCACTTTGACAGCTAGCAGATATGTTGATTAAAGACTTGAGCAATCCAGCAATCCAGACTATCATTGAAAACATGGAGATGAACAATATCTATTCCCTAACTTGGAGGAAAATATTGAAAAAATGATTTATTGTAAATTAGGTTAAAGAATATAAGGCTGAAATACACCCTGTGTAATTAATTGTTTATTTCCTTCTCTACTCTAGGAAACCTCTATATAGGCTTGTGATTAAACCATTCTTAACAATTGAAAATATAAATCAAATGAATAAAAGAAAAAGAGAAAATGATGATGGCAGTATCAGTTATATCATAAAAATGCAAGTAATTTAAAGTAGCCTTAGATTCCAACTAGTTGGAGTCCACAACATAATTTATTACTTCTTGATTTTCATATTAGTTTCATGAGGGGACATCAATAGTTTAACTTCAGGATTTATTGATTTATAAATAGATGCCTGTAATTTACCACTCTCAGACTTCAATGATTAACAGATTGTATCGACGTAGTAAAGAATCACTGATTCACCTTGCTTTTGATAACTACTACTGATCCCTATTTTGCTTTTGATAATAACCAGTTCGTCCAATGACTTGCACAGAAACAATGTTTTCTGCCGTTTGCAGTCAATTTTATGCTTGCAGTACATGCACATTATGGAGTGAAGTGATCTTACAGATAGGATAATACACATAAAACAATAAAAAAAGTAGCAAACGTTATCCAATTCTGACCATTTTGAGCTTCCTAAGCTCTTTCTTGGCAGTTCTTCCCCTCCACCTGGTTTGTGCCACTATAGATCCTCTCTTTAGCCTCTTATAGTATGAGGTGGCTTTATGACAACGCCACTGAGCCTGCATGGTTTAATTATTGGCTACTTGAGGAAAATAGGTGTTGGTTTTTCAAAGAAGGTATACAAGAAAGGAAGATCAACTGAGCAATATAATTTTACGAATATAACCTGAATCATGGTTGCTGCCTTAGTTTGCTTGCGGAATCTAAATTCCTTACGAGCAGACATAGCTCGTAAACCTGTCTGTATGACAAGTGCAGAGACATGGAGATTGTTATAGGATTTTCGGGCTCCATATCTGCGCAAATGCTTCTGAATCTTAACAGCAGCTGCCTCCCTTCTTATGTTGTCATAAAGTTTGCAAGCCAGTCTTCCTACAAGTCGCAACCATACCAGAAAGAGAAAAATATGTTAAATTAGAAGCTTAACAATCCAACGGTCAACAGCCAAGTTTTGGCCAAAGAAAGAAGCAGAACATGTTATGGCGGGCAACTATCTTTTGTGCTGGGCAGTGTGTTCTGTGGCTTGAAAGCAACACTAAGTTTTCAAAGATTATTTTTAAACCTCCCTCTCTGGGCAGATTGGTAGCTTAGCCTCCTGGTCTGTTCAATGGGAATTTTTTTATCCCTCTGAAAAGAGATTGGGCTGTTATCTTATATACTAAGTCCTTTTGTTACCTTGTTTTTCTTTTGCTTTTTTATTCCAGCAGGATTTTTTATCCTCCTCTCTGTATTTTCTCTTTTTTTTGCTTTTTTATATAAACAGAAAAACAGTTAAAGGCTACTCCAAGTCCCTGTTGCAGTGAAAAGACAGCAACCAGAAATCAAAATGATACGGAAGAGTAAAAGCACACATTCTATCCTAAGGAGTAAATAAGAACTGTAAAATATGTCGTCCAACGCCTGATTCAAGCTGTTAGGTAATTTCAATGTGCTCACCTCTACATATAGCTTGCAAAGATATGGTAGCCTCCCGCAGTGCCAGGAATCTCTTACGAGCATTATGAGTGCGTATCCGCCGCTGAACAGCCTTTGCAGCACTACTGAGTACCTCAGTTCTGCGTGCATCTAGCTCAGCCATCTGACCAGCTCTTAAGAACACCTTGGTTTTGCCTATCTGGAACACCATCTCAAGAATAAATGTCTCTTCTTGAAAAAACATTATTAACATACTAACTTTCATACTTTCTTTTCCACATCTGTTCTTGATGCACAGCACATTCCACCTCTCGTTCATATGATAACATATTTAAAATTAATTATATCCAAGGATATTGGCAGTTGGTAAAGGGACAACATCGGTACCACTTGTATGACTTCTAGCCTGGCCATTCATGCTCATCCTAAGCACATCTAGTTGCATATCCATTTTGTGAGAGAAAAGGTGCAATCTAGTTTCATAGTTGTTCGATATATTGCAATTCAGTATCACCTAACTGAAATCTTCACTGAGGGTATTTCTTCAACAAGATTTAATCATTTACCAGTCCAATCTCTGCACATTAACCCGCATAGCTTTCTGGGAGTAAAGTGATAAGTATATTCTATTAACCTTTTATTTACTTTGTAAATAACACTTATTGTATTTCTATTTAATTAGGTTTCTACAACCTGATCTCTATGTAAAGCCATAAATAGCACATCAGTACTAATCAATAATATATCAGAGTATTTATCTGTAAGTTGTACAGTTGCCACAAGCAGAAAAGACCTTGAGGAATTACCTGAAATCCTTTGAGCCCCTTCTTTTCCAAAATCTTTTTACAAGCAGCCTTTTCCTCATAGCTGCTCATGAATAAATTCAGAAAGGAAAGTATCCCTATTAGTTCTGATAATATTCATCAAACTTCAATGATAACTAAAGTTGTCCAAGAACTTCCAGAGTGAAAATAGTTAAGTTTCCCTGTTTTTATTTTTGATTGACCTAAAAGAGGTAACTTACTTCCCTTCCAAAGCCTCTGGAGCAAGAAGCCCAAATCTGTTAATGAACTCAAAGAATGGTTTGCGAGTAGGGTAGCCAGCACAACTTATTCTGATTGCCTCTAAAACACCCTATATGAACAATAACAAATTATAGCTGACATCTGAAAGAATTGAAAATATTTGATACTATTTCGAAAAAAAAACTTGCTCCAAAAAATCTTAAGTCAGTAAATTAAGTACTCACACCACACCGCAATTGCTGCATGATATTGACGTTTTCAAATATGGCAGGTTTTAGTAGGTTATTCGGCTTTACACATCGGATGTAGTGAGGTTCTGTAGAATTTAATGTCTCCATCAGTTGTTGCAGTTGTAGCTGCATAATTTAATTTGTGAAACTATCAGTTCTTAACATCTTGCAATAGGTATGTAAAAGTGGTGAAGCAGCAACATATTTCGATAAATTGGATTGACTAATGTTATGGTAAGTTTAATGATCTTGTTAGCCATAGAGTGAAGTTACCTTGAAACGAGAACCAATTGAAGAAAATTTAGAAGATTTAGATGTCTCTTCTGGAAGTGGAGGGAAAAGGCCTGCTACAAAAGGACATTTGGAAGCACTCAACAAATCTTGATGTTCAGGGACAACATAATCCTTGTTTTTGTCCAAAAATTGATCGGATTGATATAGGACCTGAAAAGAAATGCGATCAGAAGGAATAGGTCTATTAGCCATATCTGGCTGCACATTTCTATACCAAGTGATGAGAAATAAATATACCTCTCCAGCATAATGGGCAATCGTGAAATCAGTACGAGATAATTTTGGTTTTATGAAGCGCTTGTGGTTCTTAAATGTCTGATAAAGTTTGTTTGCAAATGTTTCGTGAGTTGACTTTGGAAACATGCTGAAAGATGAAAATGCCAAGAAGATCAATCTGGCTTTTTAACACAAGAAGCTTAATGAAGAAAACAAAACAAATGTGTTTCTTAAAAAAGGTGGGATAATAATATTACCAAGCTTCATCAAGGAGAGCAACAATTCCACCAGGTTTCTGCAAAAAGAAAAAGAGAGGATTAATTGTAAGGAAAGGAGTATCGCAGAACTTGAAAAAATAAAAAACTGGACCAGGTTTCCGCATTCAGTTCAGTTTGAAGTTTAATAGAACTGAGTAAGTCCATGGGGAATAACAAATAAAAATAACACAGGGTCATTACAAGCAACTTAATCCATGTGAGGATTGTAACACTTGGTATTGTCGAAAGGCCAACCAGTGCAGATGGTTCACTGGTTACCCATGGTTGATTAATGGTGATAGCATATGTTTTTCTACTGTTAATTTGTACTTATCTTGGATGTTATTAACTATGAGAAATCATCTAAACTTTGAATCCAACCCTTCAAGATGTTTTTGAAAATATCAAGGAACATTAAGTTTTTAGTTCTCTGATTTATAGCAAACTATTCTTTTTTAACTTATGTTCCTGTTCTAGTTAATCACCTCTTTACCCTTCAAGGGTAGAAATCAAAACCCAAAATTGAATCAAATATATATATATATCAATATGCTTATACACAGCTGTCTGACCCAACTGTAACACCACAGCCTCTAACCCAAAAGTGCTAGGTGATGGGTGCTCCTTGGATAATTGGCACACAATGTATACACTATCGCTTTTCTCATAGTATTATTGATATGGAATGTGAGATGTGGAACATCATTGTAACAACCAACATGGTGAAGCAAAGAAGTTGATCTTGCATGTTTTATACAGAGTTTCAACTAGCCAACCAGATAATAACCTTTTCAATAAGATCCAGAACATCTTGATTGTCAACAAATTCAATGTAGCTCCACTCAATGGCCTCTTTGGTGTACTCTTCTTGTTCCATCTTGAAGACGTGCTGAACAGTATTGCGAGAACTCTTCAGCAAAAAGTTACCAATTAAACTAGAGGTCTAACATGAATACTGATTGAAAATGTACCTGATTAAAATGCTGTTGCAGCTTTTCATTCGTAAAATTAATACAAAACTGCTCAAAACTGCAAAATAGGATGGTAAGTTGCAATACCTGCCAACCTATAAGAGATTGTTTCCTTTATATATGCATATTTGGCAACATGCATGCATGTGTGTCTATGTTGTTACCTATTGGTCTTGAAGCTTTCAAACCCATAAATATCAAGGACACCAATCAGAGATTTTGAATTAGGATCTTGTCCAATTGAGTTATTGATTTTATTCACCAACCTGCACATAAGCAAGCACACACTTAGAACCTTACAGCATTTCAATCTAACTTTACAGAAAGAGGTCGCAAATGATGAACCGGAGTTTCTCACTCAGTCCTTTACCAGTCAAATAATCGAGAATAAATCGTCTTTGCTAAACCATCCCTACTAACTGCCGCACTTTGAGGATCAAGACTTCTCTTTATAACTTCCTCAGGTGTAATCATGACACGCTTACATAACGCATCTTCAAGTGCCTTAAGATCACACCTGAAACAAACAAACGTCAGTATTACCTTGAATTGAAAGTTAGCACTGCAGTGAACAAAATGTGATGGTAGTAAATTAGAAACTAGAACAGCATATTGGAGGAGACATATACATGAGAAGTTCTGAAGTGGTTTTCAGGTGGAATTTGGACTTGTCATCTTTTGGAACTGATGAATCAATCTCCTTTCCTTTGGTAAAATCAATGTTTCCAATATGAAGAATTGCAGCCACTACTCTGAAGATTGCTTCCTGATTTGTGGGGAAGAGAGAATAAGAAGTGGTTATTAACAATTTTTTAAGGTATAAAGAAAATCGACATGGATGTGTAGTAGTAATTAGCAATTGATCACGTGCTATCTTAAGAGCAATACCTGCTCCTTCTCACTTATCCCAACAATATCCATAGCTCTCCTTGTGGCGAGATAATCATGGGCATCACTTATACCAACCAGTTCATAGCAATTTGACTGATTAAGGTAGTGAAACGTTTTAGGACTTCCCAACTTGTACTTCTCAATTTCCTGCTAACACTAACAAGTTAAGTATAAACTAGTGAAAATAAAAAGAAATTAAATTATTCACCTAAATCAGAAAATCTCAGTTAAAGATGTTAACCGGACAGAGAGATACCTCTTGTGGTGCAGCACAAAGAAGGTAAAAGCAGTGATAATTACGCTCAGGATTGGAAATTTGGCAAACACGTGACCTTTCAAGAAGGTAAGTTCTGATGGCTGCTCCTGATATTCTTCCTTGTTTATCAAACTGGATTTCAACAAATTTACCAAAACGACTGGACAGGAATAATTTAACAAAAGACCTATGTCAAACTTCCAATAAATTAAAGAAAATGATTTGTTGCAAAAGACTATTTGACATAAATTATTAGCTGTTAGTCCAAGTCAAGAATTAGATTTTAAATGCATGTATGAAGTTTTCAACCCAAGCTGGCGAGTGTCTCACCTAGAGTTGTTGTTTCTAACGGTTTTAGCATTGCCAAATGCTTCAAGGACTGGATTTGACTGCACTCAGATATAGAAAAATTAAAATTTATATACATCATCAAGCATACATCATTATTTGATGATAAAGCTAAGTAAAAAATAGAATAATAAATGAAAGAAAGGAAGAACAGTAAATCGTACTTCAAGAACTTGTTGTTCAACTGTCCGTCCTTCTGTAGCAACACGACCACCTAGAAAGGCAAGGTATTTCATAAGCATTTTTGTGGTCTCTGTTTTACCTGCACCACTTTCACCACTGACCAGGATCGAATTGCTTTTTGCCTCGTTAACCATGGCCCTGAATGTAGTAAAAGCGTATATGTTGACTATCTACTTCATGGATATGCATGTCTATGTATTATAGGCATTTATAAGGATATTTTATATTTTTTTGTGTGCATTTGTGAAGTGACTGTGTGATAAACAAAATAATTATAACCTGTAAGCAACATCAGCAACTGCAAAAACATGAGGACTTAGTTCTCCAAATGGTGCTCCCTTATACTGTTGCATCATGTGGCCATCATAGAGATGAGGCAGCCTTTGGAATGGGTTAATGGCAATAAGTATATTTCCAGTATATGTCTGTCATCAAAACATGAAGAGATATATGAAATAAAAAAATTTCCAAGAGTGATTATTTTTGTAGCATTCTTATCAAAAGAAAACAAAGGACAGCTTACATAAATTTCATTAAGCTCATAACGAGTTTTTAAATTCTGCAGAACACCAGGCTCATGCAAATAAGACAGCTTTGTCATATCATCAACTCCACCGGCTGGAGCTTCCATGTCCTTTGGATATATTTTTGATAAGTTGGCAGTAACCTTGAAGTTGCAAGATAGAAGCATTAGTTTCACAGTGCCAGTAAAATTTTAAGGTTAAAATTTCAGTTAGAGGGAAATGAGTTGAACTCCAATTAAAATTGTAAGGAAGTTGGATTACAGGAAATCGACCTACCTTCTTTCCATTAGAACACTGGATTGTGACTTCCTGTCCAGCAATTTTTTCAACTTGCCCATCGTTCCAAGCGATTCTGGGTCTTCAACCCAGACATGAGAACCGATGATAATATTCACAGCAGTTCCCTGAAATATTTTGCTGAAATCATTAGAAATTTGCTTGCAATTGAAAATCAAGTATGTTTTTATTTAAAAAAAAAAAAAACAGAAAACTACTTGGTATTCAAAACACTGAAGGTCACATCAGACTTTTAGACTATCATCTATCTTTTTCAACAATGCCTAATTAGGGTTTACCTCCCTTATATGACCAGCATCCTAATTCTTAGAGAACATTTTATGGAAACCAGAAATTGGGATATAAAAGAATGTCTAACTGTGAATTTCCCGCTATAAATGCTCACAAAGTTCCACCACAATATGTCTCTGATGCATTTACACCTTTAATTTCTGGTGATGCAACTCCATCCATGAAATTTGCTCTGCATCACTCTCTCCTTTTCCTCCCAACAAAAAAAATGAGAAGAAGAAAGGGAACTCAAAGCATGTTTTACTTCAATTCCCTCCCTACATGTTGGATTCATTCATTCTTGGCAAGGTAGAATGGTCAGCCAAAAGATTATTTTCCATATTTGTATCCAAAGTTCGGTTCGTGGCAGATTCAGTTTCAAATCAGGAAACAAAGTAGTAATCCCTTGTTATGCAACAATTTTATGGAAGAACCTTAACTGTGATAATCAGATTTGAGCCTCATCATAGAATTTATCTAGCGTCCCTCAAAAAGTGATTGATTTCATCATGGTTAGATGAAATAGTATTGCATTGTCTCCCAAACCCAATACTCAAGTTTCTTCCTCAAACATGTATTCCACATTTTGTATCTAACCCAACAGTGGTTAATAAAACTCCACTATTGAAACCCACTTCTCAATTTCTAAAACGGTGATCCTTGTTCATCTAGAATAGATCATTAGAACTCCAAACTTTAAATTGTTCAACATGATACTTCTTTCCCCCTCTTTTCCATATCATGGTTTGTTTTCAAGGATCACCAAGTTATTCACATCGATCATTTTTCTCATAGCAAACAACTAATCCCATTTCTTATAAACGCTGATAAAATCTATCTTAAAGCACTATGGCTTTATTATCTTACATGAATTGAAGCATCCACAATTTACTACCCAAAAGTTCAAACAGGTATACCATAAAGAGAAGCCTGTAAATTTACATGCTACCTATAATTTCTTTCTTTTTTTATTTCAAAACCATATCCAAATCAACATCAGCCTAAAATTCAAAATAAATAAAATTCCACATACCATTTTTAAACTTTCAAATTCGAAGCTCAGCTACTCATTACTTCTTCCCTCGCCAATCAGTTCCAAAGCTTTAAAAAACTTCACTGTCTAGGCACAAAATTGACTCCTGAGAGAACCCAAACCCTTTACCCAAAATCAAGACCATTAAAGAAAATCTTGGGTACGAAAAATTCCTGTAATAACCCGGGCAAAAGAGAACGATCCAAATGCCGATATTTGAAATCAAGACAGAAACCAACCCAGCATGGAGTTGGACATGGAATTGGGGTTCGAAAAAAAAGCGGAAGAAAATAGAGATCAAGTAGGAGAAAATGCAAGAAAGTGGGAGAAAATGGGAAAGAAAGAGAAGAGGGAGTGAGATTTGAGAAAGGGAAGGAAAAGCTTGGGGGGGAAGGAAGTGAATTTGGGGATGAAGGGCATGTAGAGATCGACATTCCTCAAGAGACCCTTTGAGTTCGGTGTTTTCGCCTTTGGTTTCGCGCCTATTCGTGGCTACTAACTCAGTCTTCTCTCTCATTCTCTCTCTCCTGCGCTCAAACACAGACTTAACGGAAGCTCGGTTGGTCGTCAAGATGCAGTGTGGGTCGGTGCACCATGATCTGATGGAACTCCAAAATATAGCCGTTGGATTAATTCAAAATTTGCGGGTTTGATTAAAACGGTATTTCTTTCTTTTACATATTAAAAAAAAACTAGTTTAAACTTTTTGATAAAATAATTATTTAAAAATGTTAAAAATAAATTTATCTTTTAATGTATACTAATAATTTTATTTTAAGAATTTAAACAAAATAAAATTAATCTTCTTATTTAATAAATTCTTAAAACAAGTTACGAAAAAAATTATAACTACTAGAAAAATGAGAAATCTTTTTACGATATTTAAGTTTTAGAGATCTTAAGAAGCCGATGTACGTCCATCACAATTTATTATGAATTTTACAAAAATTTAATTATTATATTAAATATATACGATATTTTATACTTGAACTTACTTAATCTGACATATTTAAACTTAATTTTATATAGTTTTTTTCGTTAAAATATAAATTGGATTGGATCAAATTTAATTAGTGGAAATAAGGGTCGGACAAGAGGGATCCGATTTGTCCTTACAAAATCTTTCTTAACCCGACCCACTATGTCTAAGCATTTTTTAATTTTTTATTATTATAAATATATTTATACCTATATAAATAAGTAAAATAGATTATATTAATAAATATTTTTTATTTTTATTAATATGAATATAATTATATTTATATAAATGTAATAAAATAATTGGATATGATTCAAGTAGAATAATTAATAAATTCAAAAGGTTCAAAAAAAATTTAAAAAAAAAAAAACCAATCAAGTAGCATTCGGTTTAAAAACTTGTTCCAAACCCACAACATATAAAATTAAATAAAGTATGTCAATTCTCATATACCTTATTTCTATATAATTAATAATATTAATTAACTTCATCTAATTTATCAAATCAAATACTTTTTTTTTTTATAATTCATCACTTTTAAAAAAATAAATAAAATCAATTATATTTTACGTACACGTTTTTATGTCACGCATTATTTATAAATATTTACTTACTTTCATGAGTTTCATACCACATTCAATAACTACATTGATTTAGTCTATTAGATAGGTTTATACCTTACTAATTGTAATACCCAAATTAATTTTAATGTAATTTAAATTAATTTATAAATATAATTTTAAATTTTTTAATTTTAATTTAGTGTAAAAATGAAGAAAATTTGATAGATGATAAAATTGAAAATAATTTTGAAAAAAATAGATGAAAATTTGAGTTTTTGGAATATTTTTAAAAGAAAATTCAAAAACTGATGGCCAAAATGTAATTTAAGAAAGCTGTGTCACGTAGAATACCCAGTCAGCAGTCCCAACGAATCAAAACGCGATGCGTGGTAGTGGAGGCTGATGCAGTGTCATGCGGGAGGCTACACGGGCGATCCACGTGCCGCGACCGAACGACCCAGATTCGCTCCCGCGGGCACAGACGGTCCGGATGCGTTTTCTCCCCAAATGCGATCGGACGGTCATATTTAAATGCGATCAATGGTCCAGATCCACTTTTTATTTAAATGCGATCAGACGGTTCAGATTAGATCGCGATGAACGACCAAAATTCACTCCCTATTTAATCGCGATCGGATGATTCAAATCAAACGCGATGGATGGCCCAAATTAAATGGGAACAGATATAAATAACTTTCTTCACATCAAATCCTAACCCTAACTGCCAGACACCCCCCACCGGAGAAGAAAAACCAGCCGCCGGAAAGGAAGCCGCCACCATTTGTCATCACGCTGAAGCCACTTCCGACCGCTAAAAGAGGTAAAAATTTCTCTATTTGCTCGGAATTCAATTTTAAACACTCTCATGATCAAATCGGAGTAAAAGGATTGGCAAATTGAACAGAAACCGCGGGCAAAGCCTGGCGGTGCCGCTACTGGAAATTGTAAAAACTGATTCTGATGATACCCTTTTCTATTCCCGTTCTATGTAATTTTTCCATCATTATAATCACTATTTCCTTCTCTATAGATTAACCGAAGTAAAATACCCAACTGCAAAAGTGACCAAGCAAAGCCGTTGCACCAAAGGGTCCTGTCACTGGTGAGTTTCAGTTTTTTATTTTTTTTAGCCAACCGAGACCCCTTAACGTGTTTTCTCGCATGAATTAATGCAAAATCGGTCGAAAATAGCCAATTGGAGGCGGATCATCGCCGCCCTCGGCTGCGCCGTCGTTGGAGCATGGCGAAGCCGCTGTGCTAGAATTTCAGAATTGGCCAAAAAGGGGTTCTGACGCTGATTTTGGATTTTTTTAGATATTTATAGGTAATTGTTGCACGTTTTAATTCCCGAAGAAAAAATTCAGATAACCCATGGACCGCCAGTAGGCACAGTCAATAAGTTTAGCTTTTCGTGTATCAATTTGAATAAGAATCCATCACTCTATTCTCTGTTATTAAATTGAAGTCAAATTAACAATAATATGATGTTTTGTACGATTTATAAAATATCCATAATTAATTACGGATTACTAATGGAGTCAGAACCGAAAATTATCTACTGTTATTTTTGTTGATTGTTTTTACGGTTTGAATACATGATAGTATATGATTGATCGATTTTATAGCTTTGAATGCATTTATTGTTTATTTTATGTGTTTACAGTTGAATTGGAAAAAATGGAGATTAAATGAAAATAAAAAATTGCGTGATTAACTGAATGGATGAAACGACAGTCTTACTGAATATCATAGGAGATTGTGGACGGAGCAGGTACATGAAAAATCCTACCGTGAACGTTGCCTCATACCAGACGGGGTATCGATGTTTGGTAATTTGGTACTCATACCAAATGAGGTATGAGAACGGCCCGTTTCACCCTCATACCGGACGGGGTATTGAGATTTAGTAGTTTGGTACTCATATCGGGCGAGGTATGGGGACGATCCGTTAATTAAAAATATTAAAAGAAATGGTTCACATGTTGTGGAGACATCTCTATGAACCCCCATGGATATTAATAGGCTGATAATGGATAAAATTGTTGTTCAAATCAATTACGTATGAAATCATGATATAAATTATTTTGTAAATCTCAATACGCTAAGTAGATGGTAAAAGATTTTGTTTATGATAAATAAATTTGTTTAATTAAGAGTTTCATTATTTGTTTTGATTTTTCTACCAACCTTCATTTCTGTGTCGGTGAGTAGCATGATATTCTTGCTATAATAGTGTAATTCATTCCTTATTTAACTATTTCAGATCAAGATGATCATGATTCAGAACCCAATCCACAAAATGGTTACGAATAGGATGTCAGTTTTATTTATTTTTCGTTTATTTCCTTAATCTTTTGTATTTTCTTCAAAAGGATAATTCTCATAATACTATTTGGTACTCTAAGTTATTGTGTAAGAAATGTAAATCATAACTAATCATTTCGCTTATGCACTTAATTTATGATTTATTTCTTTTAAAATTCCGATATCGTTACACTAATATTCAAACATAGAAAAATATTGGCAAATTAATTTTAATAACTAAGTTTTAAATCTAATTTTCATCACTTTTATAATAGATTTTGTTATTGATAATCAAGTAAACAAACATAAGATTTAAATATGTGAATTCAATGAACTCATTCTCTAACAAGTCATTAACATTTATTTCTATTTTAAAGTTGTTTGTGATCAGGTTAGACCGAACTTAATTTTACGATTCTATTACCAAGTTAGGGATTAGTCCGAATTTATTTGTTATCAATTTTATTAAAAGAATAAAATGGTAACAATCTTATTTAAAATAATAAAAATAAAGATAATTTTATTAATTTATAAACATATTATTTAAATTTTACATAAAATTTTATATAAAATAAATTTTTTAACCTTAAAAAAAATTGATTAAATTAAATATAAATTTTATTAAGTTTTTTCTTTTATTATTATTTAGTGAACATTTCAACAATAATGTATGACTTGTTTTTCTTTTTTTTTTTTAATTAAAAAATATTTAATTGAGATTTCTTTTTTGAGAATTAAGATGAGGCGTCTCACTCTTGACCAATAAAATAGCAGCACGTGGGACTGACATCATTGACTTTAACTTATAGTCAACCGTCAACCTCTACTTTTTCTCCAGTGCCCGGTTACTACGAAATTCACCCCCTTCTTTAAACACGTGCTTATTTTTCAGAAGTTCCACAAACATTTGGCTTGCATTCTTTTTCATTAGTCCTACCAAATATTGTATATATATATATATATATATATCTCTCTCTATATATATAAATATATTATATAGATTTCAATCCAAAATTAGAATCTTAGAACACACATAGTTTAATATTATCTTTATA